TTTGTAAACACCAGTCCCCAACACTGTGTTTAGCATATAGCAGACATGTAATACATACTCGAGTGATTCATTGACTGCCTTCCTTTGGACCCATTTTAATTATCAGTATTTAGCTTAAAAGGTAGTGCCTGGATCTAATACAATTCTCCAGGTGTGGTCTGACTTATACCCTACACAACACAGAGTGTAAGAAACCAATTACTTCTCGTGATTTGCACACCTTATTTCTATTAATGCAGCCTAAGAGTATATGTCAGCTTTTAAAACAGATTCCTTAAACTAGTGATTCATATTAAGCATACTGTCAACCTAAACCCTCAGATCTTTCTGGTAAGACCTGCTTTCAATAACAACAGTTCTAATTTACATAAAAGATAGGTCAATAGTTTACAAAATACAAAATATTTTACCTCCAAGAGCTCTGTGAGGTAGTTAGTAAAAGCAATATTATTTTCACTTTGGAGTAAATTAATAGTGTAGGATGTCCAGAGCTTTTCCCCAGAGTGCCAACCTAGGGGGAGGAGTGCCACAGGGACATAGTTTCCTCTCCCCATCCCAGCAGTTCCCAGTTCTTTTTGTGCATATGACCATGGGAACTATGCCACCCCTCTTCTATATGACTATAGGAACTAACCCACCCCTCTTCTATATGACTATAGGAACTATCCCACCCCTCTTCTATATGACCATGGGAACCATCCCACCCCTCTTCTATATGACCATGGGAACCATCTCACCCCTCTTCTATATGACCATGAGAACCATCCCACTTCTCTTCCATATGAGCATGGGAACCATCCTACTTCTCTTCTATATGACCATGGGAACCATCCCACTTCTCTTCCATATGACCATGGGAACCATCCCACTTCTCTTCTATATGACCATGGGAACCATCCCACTTCTCTTTTATATGACCATGGGAACCATCTCACCCCTCTTCTATATGACCATGGGAACCATCCCATCCCTTTGCTATATGACGTCTGCCCTCCATTCCCATTCCCCTCTGATCCAATGCTATGTTCTCTGTCTCTTTGATGGGTTACTCAGTGTAATGGTACCACAAGGATCTTGCCTCTCTCTTGGGGTCCATCTTTCACCACAGAGACCTATCCCACTTTCTACCTTCTTCCTGGGACTGCTTAATGTGACTGGAACAACTCCTACTCAGCAACATAAACCTCTATTGTTCATAAGATAAAATATGAACGCCTTAACTTGGCACTCAAAGTCAGACACATTCTTGTTCTCATATACTCTTCTAGCCTCATTCTGAATGATTTCCTCTTACATAGGCTGTGTTGCATAGAGGATGGAGTGCTAGCCTTGGAGTCAGAGAAACCTAAGTTTGAGTCTCACCAGACCCCACCCAACAAGCATATATTAAGCACCTACTATGTTCTCCAGGCCCTATGCTATGCCTTGAGGATACAAAGAGCGGAAAAAAAAAAACCCCAAAAAAGCCAGTCCCCAAATTCAAAGAGCTCACAGTCTAATGGGGGCAGAAAACAGGTTAAAAAAAACTACATACAAACAAGATACAGGCAGGGCAAATTCAGGATAATCAACAGCTGTGTGACTCTGGGGAAATCACGTAGCTTTCTGAACCTCATTTTCTTCACACTTCCTATCATTTTTTCCTCCATCAGTAAAATGGGGATAATAATAGCAAGTCTCTCCCAGCACTGCTGTATCAAACGAGGAAATATATATATAAAGGACTTTCTGAACCTGAAAGGGATTTATGAAGGCAGGCTACGAAGACTGTTATTATCATTGCTGTCATTGTTATTATAGCACCTACCTCATACACAGTTGTTGTGAAGAGCAAATGGGATGATAAGAGCCTTGTAAACCTTGAAGAGCTATCAAAGTGTTAGCTGATATTATTTTACAAGGTTAGTTTTACAAGTTTTATTCTTAACAGAACTCTACTGGCTCCGAGTGATCACTGTGTTCTTTTTAAAATCCACATGAAGTCTACTTAGCAATCTATTCTAGGATTTTGCAAGGTATCGACATAAGGTTTACCAGTCTGTATATTTATTCCAACTTCTTGAAAACTGGAACAGGACTGGCCTATCTCTTTTTTTTCTGCCACAGCTTTTAATCTCTATGATATCTTGAAGATTATTTATAATGGCCTTCAGATCCAATCTGTGAGGTTTGTTTGTTTTTCACACACCTTGGGATAGGATTCAGCTGGGTCTAGATATATAAACTCATTAAAGCATCAAGAGTCTATCGGAACCAGGGCTTGGTGGGATGAACCGGACCAGGGATGCCTGGGACCATGACTTGACAGAACTGCAAGGATAGTGGCAGGAACTGCAATTCAACCAGATCCAACAAACATTTATTAAATATCTACTATGTGGAGAGCATGCTCAGGCACTGAACTAGAGATGAAGGGGACCTCAGAGGTCACCTAGTCTAACTGTCCCATTTGATGCCATACAGGTAGAATACATCAAAGGCAGGTTTTGAACCGAGGTTCTCTACCGCCATAAGCCAGTGCTTAGTACAGTCTAAGCTATGGTATTTAGATCAGAGGAGGTCCTTTCCCTTGCGGAACTTACATTTCCTTCCCTTATTTCACTGCCATGCCAGTGCTTCTACTTTTTTACCCTTTTCAATCAATCAATCAATCAATCAATCAATATTTATTAACCACCTACTAGGTGCCAGGCACCATAAGTTCCCTCTACGCTCCTAGAATTATCTTTTTTTCCAGTTTATTCCATGGATTGCTTATTTTATCCTAAAAATACTTTAATTTAATAAGGGAGAATCTTCTCAACAATTAATATTGTTAATGGCATCTGCCTTCCTCCAAACTGGCATGGGCTGCCAGTTTGATTATGATTAGATTCTGTCATCATTGGAAGTCTTCAAGTAGAGATGGGATGACCGAATTCTAATAACAAGGAACACTTACACAGCTCTTTAGATAAATTACTTACTTAAATCTCTAAATCAATCAGCCCTTCGTGTTAGCTCCCCTTGGAAGCTGCCAGGGATATTGCCAGTTTCACACCGGTTCATGTGGTTGCAGGCCATGGGTGCTTGCTCTCATAATGTTCCACCAATCACAATATCCTACTGGTCAGTGAGACAGAGACTACCCTGTATATTTCTGCTGCTGAACAGTGTTTAAGAACACCGGCAATCTGGATAGCTGCTTCATAAAATCATCTTCATGATGAAATTCATTTTCTAAAAAGATGGTTTCAGTATTTTTGTACCTCATATGTGTGTTTTATAGTTTAACAGGTTTTACTTGACAGGCATGTAAATTTGAACAAATTTTGGGCAACAGTTTTTCAAACTACATATGGAAGATTCTGATTCAATAACTGAGATTCTCTACAGAAGGAAGGAAAACAAACAAACAAAAAAAACCCCCTCCTAACTATAAAAAAAAAGAGAGAATAAATATATTAGAATCAAGCAGTGGGGTTAACCAGAAAAAGTGTTATTAGATGAGTAATATGCAGGCTGGCATTACAGTCCTAATTCTACCCTAACTGCCTGTGTGACCTTGGATTGGTCACTTGACCTTTGTGGGCCTCAGTTTCTCTCCTCTCCAAAGGAGGCCTATGACGTAAGATGACCTTCTAGCTAAAAAAATTCTGACTCCCAATCTTCCTGAAGAAAACTAAAATCAACTCAACAAAACCCAAAGAAATTTGAACCGCAGATATCAGTTACACAATACTTTAAAAAACTAAAATTTACGTTTGTCATATTAATGTACAGATTAGAAATAAATGTGACTGAACAGTCTATAAAAATAATTGAAAGGAAGGTTTTATTTTGTTAATGTAAAACCATAGCAGTACCTACAAAAATCATACTATTTTTCTACAAATAGGTCCAAGTGTGAATTCTGAGAAAAGAACTGTAATCTTTAGTGCCACAAAGCCAGAACCCAACTTTTTATTATATGCTGTATTTTATAACACCAAATGACAGCATTTCTAGGGTTTAGTCATTCTGTGAGTCTGACTAAAAGACTTTTTGGCTATTTATATATATATTTTTTATGCTGAAGGGAAGAGTGTTAGTGGAGACCATATGGTCTATTGTAAATCAAAGAGAGATCAAACAAAACAGTTATTTGCAACAGACTGACTGCCTGGAACTGCTTTCTACACTGAAGTCAAGCTTGCCCCCTTTTAAGTGGGACACTTAAGAGAGAGACCCAGATCTAGACTGCAGATTAGCTTGAGAGAAGCTGTTCTTGAGAATTAGGGAATCAGAGAATCCTAGTGATACAAGATGACCTTAAAAGGTCAGATCTTCCAGTCCCCTGCCTTCTCCTAGGATTAAAGGAGAGAATCAGATCTGTTCATTATTGACTACAATGAGGACTCAGATTTACTGGTCTTGAGAGTGACTTATCATAACTTTGTGTTATAACAGTAATTTTCATCTCACATTTTCTCAACAAGCTTTGTAGGTGATGACATGACCCATAAGAACTGGAACCAGGGCAGGATAAGGAATCTTGCAGCAAGGGCTGGGAATCCTCTGAAGGTCCAGGCACTAAAGCCAACATTCAGATCAGATGTCTGTTTAGCGGCTATTTGCTTGGTGGGGGTTTCAAAGGTGGAAAAAAAATTTTAACTACTGTTTTTTCATTCAAACAAGGATTTCTAAATAAAACAAAACAAAAATAGTTGAGTCTTAGTAAAAACGAGGTTGTTGACCCAAATGCCTGCCAAGTTTCTGATAGAGATAGGGCCCTTTGTTTAATAGGAACTGGTTTTTAGAATTTCTGGCCTCCTGGGGACTTTTTGTTTTTCTTGGATATGCTGGGCAGGCTCTCGTTTTTTCTTCAGGGGGAGGGCTTCACTTTGGTGAGTCCTGGCCACTGAGACGCTGCCCTCCTTCATCACCTCCCCAGGTCAGGCTGGGCCAGGCCAGACCACACCACCCCTATCTTGTCCAAACAGGAAAGCGGGCCCGGAGGCTTTTGTTTGTGTGTGTAGTACCTGCCGTTCCTGGTATCATGCTGCTTCATGTTCTTGATAAAATGAACCTTCTTAAAGTTCTTTGGTCTGGGTGAACCTGACAGGGTCCGACATCTGAAAAAGAAAGCAATTAAAAAAAAAGAGACAGTTAGTTCCTTGCTCAACAGCTGGGCAGTCGCTACACAAAGACAGGAAGGAAAGACCAGACAAATGATTTGAGTCACCCTAAAGCAGGAGTCAGAGTAGGAATAATGAAGACAATGAGTTAGGGGGCAAGAAAGCTTTCTTTAAAAAAAAAAATTCTAATGTGCCTAACAGAGGCATGGGCGGCACATTTCATTCAGATGTACACCCAGGGAATTTTATTTTTTTAAAGTCAAACATTTATTGACTGGTCAATCATAAATGATGTTTTTTTCATCAAGCTGAAAAAAAACCTTAAATTTAAAAAGAGCAATTCAACTTGACTTTTAAAAATGAACTTAAGACACAGAATAACAGTTTTGGTGGGAGACATCATTGAGATGTGCAGGGGCACCTCTAACATATGCATACCTATGCTCTCTAATAATTCAGTTCTAGCAAGATGTACCAGTTAAAAACTATGGGATAGTTTTGTAGTCTCCTGAAAAGTTTCTGAAGTCCTTCAAAAGATCAGTGATTTCGAGGCAGCTAGGTGGCACAGTGGATAGAGCACTGGCCCTGGATTCAGGGGACCTGAGTTCAAATCCAACCTCAGACACATAGCACTTACTAGCTGTGTGACCCTGGGGAAGTCACTTAACCCCACTGCCTAGCCAAAAAAACCAACATAAAACAAAACAAAAAACCAAAGTCTTATACATGGAAAAAAAAGATCAGTGATTTCAACAGTATGGGTAGTCCAGTCATCCATACAGATGGCATCCCCTCCATTTCTCAGCAGATGGTCTTTATGGATTGTGGTAGCCAAAAAAAAAAAAAAAGATCCCCTGGTGGATAACTGTCTGTGATGAGCCTCTCAACATAGCTAGGCTAGTTCTGGGATGACAGACTGAGTCCATCTCAAGGCTGCTCCTCAAAACCTTTCCAGCTGGGACAGGCATAAGACCTGTCAGACTAACATGTCAGGCATAGCTTTCAAAAACTCCACAGGCTGCAAGGCAGTGGAGGAAAGCTTTAGTGGAAGGAATAAAGGATTGGTGGGAAAAACAATCCTGTGCCTACGTCATCAAGAGGAAGTGCAGAGCTGAAGTCCTCAATGCACTCCAGTGGTTCCCATTTGTCTCTGGTGTTCAGTTATTTTCAGTTGATGTCTTTTCGACCCCATTTGAGGTTTTCTTGGCAAAGATACTGGAGTGATTTTTCCATTTCCTTCTCCAGTTCATTTTACAGATGAGGAAACTGAGGTCAAGAGACTTGCCCAGGGTCACACAGCGAGTGTCTGAGGCCAGATTTGAACTCAGGTCTTCCTGACGCCAGGCCTTGCTCTCTATACACTGTGCCGCCTAGATGCGCCCCTCATTTGCCTCTAGGACAAGAAATAAACTCCTCTCTGGCTTTTAAAGCCCCTGACAACCTGCTGCTAACTCCTCTTCCTCTGTTGCACTCTGATATCTAGCCATATCTAACAACAACTGATATATCCACAATATCTAGCAATATCTGATATCTCACAGGCCTTCTCTCTGTTTCTCAGATGGAGTACTCAACCTCTCATTTCTGTGCCTCTGAACTGGCTGTCTCCTGTGCCTGTAATTCCTTCCTCCTCACAGAATCCCTCCCTTGCTCGGAGACACAGTTTAAGGACCACCTTCTTTCCTGACTTCCTTCAACTGCTACAGACCTTCTTCCTTTGGGTTTAACTACGTTGCATCTGTATTTAAACCCCTATATTCTGCATGTCCATATATATATGTATTTGCTTCTTTCTTAGAAGGTAAGCCCTTTGAGGGTAGGACTGTTTACTTTGTCTTTTTATCCCTTGCACAGTGCCTAACACACAACAGGATCATAATAAATGCTTGCTGACTGAATTATTCATAGTGCGCAGACTGCGCAGTTCAGAGGAAATCCAAATTGCCTAATTCTGTTTTCTCACATAATAGTTACCTCTATTACTCTCCAAACTCTGTCTGTTACTGGGTATACCAGCCAGCATCACCGTGACCAAACAAGTGAAAGGCTGTCCATGTGGAAGAAAGATTAAATTTGTTTGGTTTGGCTCCAGAAGGAACAATCAGGAGCACAGGAATGGCAACCACTTGTCCAGAGTGGCAGACTTTGGCTTGAGGAGGAGGAAGAACTGAGAATGAAATTAACGTACATGTGAAATGGACTACCTGACTCAGGAAGTAATTAATTCCCCAGCTCAAGGCCATTGGAGATCCTCAAGCAGAGGAAGGCTTCCTTGTCCAAGGTAGAACTGCCTAGACCTCTCAAGGCCCTTCCTGACTTTCGGATTTAAGGACCTATGTTTAAATCCTATTTCTGATGCCTACTGCCAATGTGATCTTGGAGAAGCTCCTTTCTCTCCCTAGGCCTTGGTGTCCTCATCTAGAAGTTAAGAGAAATGGACTGGATCTATGATTTTATGAGTAAAAATCAGAGACATGGCAGACATGCTTCCAAAGAATAAATCTTGTTTTTCTGAAATATGTTACATTCCCTTTCATCTAGCATGTCAGATCTCCGCCCTAAGAGTATCTTATTTCTATGATCCTGTGGTCAAATTTCTTCTAATGCCACCTGGCATGACTGACATGACAAAATTACCCCAAAAAGCTAACAACTCCACAAAAGAATGAGTTGTTTGCCCTTCCCTTGTGGAATGGTGCTGTGAGTTTTCACTTTTGGTTTACGTTACTGGTGTATTTTATTTAGAAGGGTACTGGACATTTCTGAACACGTGCCTTAATGGGTCAGTCCTGCCTTCAGGACTGAAGTATGTGACGGTTGGGGCTCATTTTTGGAGGGGAGGGGGATACTCTAGTACATATGCCTTGAAAAACAGAAATGAATTCACTAAGATAGCTCCACGGCCAAGTGAACAGAATTTTAGATGTAGATTCAGAAAGAATTTCAAAAGAAAAAGAAAGGTAGGATTCAAACAAATCCTACCTCATTAGGTATAACCCTGGTAAGTATTTAAGTTTTCTGCGTCTCACTTTCCTCATGTACAAAACAAGAGGAGGGGGGCTAGGCTTGATGAGTTCTAAAGTCCCCCTTTCAGTCCTAAATCTATGACCCTATGAGATGTGACAACCTAACTCATAATTTTTATAAGAATTGTTATTTTATACTACCCACATCCAAAGAAAGATAGTCTGAATGCAGATCAAAGCATACTATTTTCACTTTTTTTGTTTTTTCTTTCTCTTTGTTTTTCCCTTTTGATCTGATTCTTCTTTCACAACATGATTAATATGGAAATATGTTTTTTAAGTAATTGTACATGTATAGCCTATATCAGATCACCTGCTGTCTTGGGGAGGGAGAGAGGAAGGAGAAAAAAGTTTGGAACTCAAAATCTTATAAAAGTAAATGTTGAAAACTTTATGTGTAATTGGAAAAAATACTATTAAAAACAAATTTAAAAAGAATTCTTATTTTAAATAAACAGTGTTTATTTGACACGATCACTCCAGTGCTCAGTGATTACATCCAGAAGAATCATTTAATTCCTAAGAACAAGGGTGGATACTAAGAGTTATTAGGCCTGGATGATATGGAGTCATCCCAACCCCTTCTACCCTTCCACAGTTTGGTTTATCAGCTAAGAGATTTTATGAAATTAGAAAGAATCTCTGGGAGCCCTGAAATTCCGTACAGGACACCTGTCTCCCAAGAAAAGGGGCCAGAGAACTGCTGACCTAACAGCAAAGTGAAAAGAAAGCTAGTGTAGAAGTCACCCCTACTCTGCATCTTTCCTGCCCCCCTCCCCCAATGTACACAGGGCCAACTCTATACACACCTAGGATAGTGTCAGGGCTCTTGTGAGCCAGTCCAGGAGTGCAGGTAGTAGTGGAGAGGGTAGGGCAGACTGCTGTCCATCTCTGCCACTGCCCTCTCTTGATACCAACGTGGGGTGAAAAGAATCCCATGACTGCAGTCAGAACACCCACTTTCTAATCCTGGACCTGGCTTCTTACTCTGTCACCTTGGGCAAGAAACTCTAATCCTCAAGGCTATAGTTTTCCTCACCTCTAAAATGGAGTGATAAAAGATGACCAATTAGATCCCTGAGGCAGCCAGGGGGTGCAGTGGGCTAGAGTTAGGGAGACCTGGGTTCAAATCTAGCCTCAAACAGTTATTAGTTTTGTGATCCTAGGCAAATCATCTGCCTCAGTTTCCCCAGTCATAAAATAGAGATAATAACACCTACACTCCTAGGGTTGTTGTGAGAATCGAGTAAGACAACATTTGCAAAGTGCTTATCTTAGCACAGTACCTTGCACACAGTAGGCACATAATAAAGGCTTGTTTCCTGCCTTCCTTTATTCCTTCATCCCTTCTTTCTTTTCCTTCTTTCATTTTCTGTTTTCCTTTCTTCTTTTTATTCTACCTTCCTTTCCATTTCTTTCTTTTTTCCTTCCGCTCTTTTCTTCATTTTCCTTCTTTTTTCTTTTTCCTTCTCCACTCCTTTTTCTTCCTTCCTTTTCCTTTTTTTCTTTCCTTCTTTCTTTTCCTTCCTTCTTTTTCTTTCTTTCTTCTTTCCTCCCTTCCTCCCAACCCTAAACCTGAAGACCTTAACTATCTGGGACACTAAAACACAGTTATCACTTGGACTGAGTGAGGCCTCCAAACACCATACTTCAAATAAAGGAAGGCTCTGAAACAACTTAGGGAGCAATGTCAAGCTACTTCATGAAACCTACACAGACATGCTAGAGTTGCAATTTAATTCCACAAACATTTATTAAGTACCCAATGTCTACAGAGCACTGTGCTAAGTAGGTGCTAAAGGATATTAAAAAAAAAAACTATTAAAGACAGTCTTCATTGTGTTCATTGAGTTTTAAGGGGATAAAAATCACAGGATTTGAAATTAGAAGAGAGCCTAATAGATCATCTAATTCAATCACTGCATTTTAGAGATGAAGAAACTGAGGGCCAGAAAAGAAAAATTCATTGTT